AAACAGTTTAGCATACAATTGTTAGGCTCTATTTGTTGCATACAAACGTCTATTGAGTCCCTGATGTTTAAAGACTCTGGCCGCTACTTCTGGAGAAGAGAGCTTCGCCACAAGGTATGAATGTTTGGGCTCTCATATCTTGAAAACAAAGATGATTGGAGCAATTTCTTACATTATAATAAAAGATAAAGTTTTGTTCTAATGCTTCATTAGTTTTTTGCTATGATTCCTTTCACGATGAGAGAGTTGTGCGAGTGCCGACCTAAGTTTAACAACTTTGTTAGCTTTTGCTCCTGCGGAAAAGATAAATGAAGCAGTAGGCTGATAGGAACAAACTTTTCCTAGCTCTAGTGTTGATTATAAGACTCTTAAGAACTCAAATAGAAAGCAGCAGAGGCTTGAAAACAGATTTGGCTTGGACACACACACTGACAGGACGACTGCTTTACCCTCGCTTCCACGCCTACGCGTGGGCTCGGGTAATGACAACCCAACTGCTTAGTACCCGCCTACGCAAGCGTGGCGAGTCCAATTAACCAACACTCATTCATATAGCATCCCACACTGGATTTGCTATAGATCATCCAACAATATTACAATAACTAACTCTTTATTTAATGAACAAAAGCTATCATAATATGGTTCACCATAAAATTAACCAATATGCTTTTGATGTTAAAGTATTGTCCTCAGTTTTCTATTATTATGATTAGTTATTACATACCAACCTCTTGCAGTATGTAGCACTGAACTACTGTACCTCACTACTCACTAATCATTACTCATTCAAGTACATTAGGATGAAACTATTTGTTCATTATGGTACCTCATACATACAATCTATCAGCCATTTTTGATCATTATGATACTCTCATTTATGGTTTCTCTGAATTCATATTGGGTGATAGTCTTTTTTTATATCAAGAACTCATTATTTCAATCATTCCTTAGTAATTACTGCAGTTTTCATATTTCATTTAGTGAAAACCTGAAATCAGTTGAGTGCAAATTTCCTAGTATTCAATTAATTTCTACCTTTGTAATTTAGGACATTCAATTTCTCAATATTATTAATGGATTTTTGATATCAAGGGATCCATACTTACCTAAAACACTTGGCAATTACTTAATTATTATCAAGTCTTGTTCAATATCTAACAACACAAGTATAGGCTAATTGATTCATAGAAGATTCCCGAGAATGGTTTAAATTAATATAACAGATACTGAACTTATTTGCTCCATTTCCAATTAATAATTGGAAATGGAGCAAATATGATATTTGAGCAGTAATTCTATTAGTCTCAGTAATGCTACTGTTGCTAACGGTACCTCAACAGGATTGACACTTGAAACACCAATAGTAACAATTGAGGATAACTTGATATTTGAACACAATACTGGAGAAATTGGAGGAGGATTAGCAATAAATGGCTCATCGCATTTGATACTAACATCAGCTAACTTGGAGTTTATTGATAATCATGCATCTTATAAAGGTAGAGGGATCTATCTTGAAAAGATATCAGGTATTGGCATAATATTAGAGGCACCAAATATACCACTTACATTAATAAATAATAGTGCTGGAATATTTGGTGATGATATGAATATACTAGATAATCATGAAAATAATCAGTTCAACTTGACAAATCCAAACATTAGTTCAACAGGCATGTTACAGAAAATTCAGTTCTGCAATTTTACTAATTTAAAAAAAATGTAAGTTACAAACAGATTTATCCCGGTCAAGCACTAAAGTTTCATAGAGCTTTGTTTGGTTATGATTACTTTGGATCACTAAATGTCACTGATGGTATATTGGAAATATGTAATGGACTCACTCCAGACAGTGCTCATACAGTCGATCATGTATGTGCTAGACCTCAGCCTAATACTAATTGTTCACTGGTTGAATACAAAGCAAACCATTCTCCCAGTTATCTAATACTGGACTATTTGGATTTGCCATGTTGGTGTCCATAGTTTTGTCATACCATACACACTGTTTCTTCTACTTAATTGTTTTTAAGAGAAGACTCCTTCAAATTTCAAAATAATTATTCAGAAAATTTTGGAGTCGTTTTAAGCCTATTATACATTGAATATTCAGTGTGATAAAAATTTTTTTCAAATTATTCATGAAATTTTACAGTCTGCAAAATGAAATTATATTTAAGGTTTAGATCTATAAAAAAGATGGTTTACCTCCTGGGCAAAAATTTTTACACATTTTAAGAACTGTATAAGTCTATGACTTAACATTAAATTCCTAAAGTATTAAAACAGTAACAGTGATGATGACACAAAAAATAACAATAATAGTAAAAGCAAGAGTATGTCTCTCCTGTTAGTGGTTGTTCTCTTATTCTTCAGCAGCTCTTGCAGTGTCTCCTCTGGTGAGTATTATGTGTCTGATAACTGCAGTTCAGTTACTCATACACCTTGTAATCCTTTATCAGTGTATGCTGAGGATATGTCTCAATACAGTAACATCATCTTCTACTTCATTGGAACCAGTGACATTAATACTGATGTTAACATGACTGCAGTAAGGAATGTTACTCTACATGGACTGGATCAGTCTTGCCTTGTTAGTAGCAGGAGCTATAGAAGGTCTATTCACATTCATAATAGCAATCATGTTGTTTTTTCTAACATGTCAGTATATAATGTTGGAGTAATGGCTATATCATCCAACAATATTACCATAACTAACTCTTTATTTATTGGAACAACAGCTTTTAAAAAGACACCATTTTCTATAGAATTAAACAATGTTTTTGACATTAAGGTATCATCCTCAGTTTTCAATCGTTATGATGTACTCATTTGGTACAAGCCTCCACCAGTATGTAGCACTGAACTACCTCATTACTCACTAATAGTGACTAATGTTACATCATTGCACTTTGGCCTATATATTCATCATGGTACCTCATACAATCTATCAGTCATCTTTGATCATTATTATATAACTCACTCTCAATTTTCTTCGCAATTTGGTAATAGTCTTTTTTCTTTTTATATTAAAAACTCATCATTTCAATCAGGAATTAGTGATATCTTTATCTTTCATATTATTTTTAATGCAAAACTGAACTCAAAGAAGTGCCAATTTCCTCATGTTCAATTAATTTCTACTTTTGTGATTGAGGATAGTCAGTTTTGTGATAATTGGTATGGAATTAGAATAGCTGAAGTTCACTCCGCTGAAGTTAGCAGCACATTTTGCAGCAGCACATTCCTCACTTCAAATTGATTAAATTTTTGTGGTCGAAGCCTTATAACAAGGGTGGGGCTGGATTAGAACTCGGGTGGAGCTGGTTGCTGCGCTCGAGCGATCATAATTACTGTTTATACCGATAGATTATAAGATGTTCTTTTATAGGACAAAAAGAGCAAGTCAAGAGAACACTTAAGGTTGCTAGATTAATATCTGTTGTTCTTTTTATAGGACAAAAAGTGTAGGTCAAGAGAATAATATTTTGTGACTTTTTTGATAGCTACGTTAAAGAATTAATACAAAAGGACTATCAGGCACCATAGTATCTATGCAGGCACTTGACCATAAGTGCAAGATGAAGATTGTTTACATCACATATCTGATATCATGAATTGTGACATTTTAAGCATCATTATTTTATTATTATTACTATATAATGTTTTACAACACACAGGACAAGTGGAAGGGAGAGTAAGATATGAGACTTAGAGAGGGTTGAGTTTGTTCCACAGTCGGACAATTCTATTGAAAATAATTTAAAAACGAGTATGATGTTTAAGTATAGTTGTGAA